CCCCAAGAAAGCAGGCTGCACCAGACAGGGACACCAAAGAGTACAACACAAAACGACAAACTGGGCAAAAATTATTTTTTTCAGGTTTGTTTTAGAGGAAAAGACTACTTCAGTTTCATACCATGTAAATTTTATGTGTTATGGTTTAGTAGTGCTTGTAGTGCAGTCTGCGTAGGTAAAGGGTGGGATTCGTGATGGTGGATGAGTCCTGAAGCCGGTGTTCCTGTAAATGACAGGTTTTGCTTACCAAAGTCAGTCAGGGAGATTATGTATTCCTGGCATTTGGAGTCCCAGTGACCATTTGATGTTAGTGGATTTACTGGAAAGGGTTTTTGTGGGGTTCTTCTGGCCTAAGGCAAGCGAGCTATTGATGTAATCAGGAGACCACAAAGAATGATTTCACCCTCCCCCTTCCCTCTTGAACTGTTTTCCTCTCTTCTGACTCACGCTTCTGTTTCTTAGACCTTGAAGAAAATGACTGCATCTCTACTGTGAGTCAGAGACAGGCTGTGCCTCTCTCCTCTGTGGCTCAGCCTGACACCCTTCCGGCCCTCAGAAACCTGGCTGGAGGCTTCCTTCATCTTGGAACTTGCCCAGGCAGGATCAGCAGGGCTGCAGAGCTCCTAGGGATCAGTTCCCAACGTGTGGAGCTGGACTGTGTCAGGAACCTCAGGGATTGTGGAGCCCAGGTGCTCCCAAACTTGGCTACACACTTGGGTCAGCTGGTGACTGGGAAATGCTCCCTCCATCCTTTTCTGAGCCTTATTCACTAAGTCTGAACCAAGACCCAGAGATCAGGCTTTTCTTTATTCTGCCCTAAGGTGATCCTCACTTAGTGTGGTTTATAGCAGTGATGGCAAACCTTTTAGGGCTTTCAGTGATAACCAACATCCATCCCACTGTGACTATGTGCCCCAGATTTTCCACCACTGGATAGCATGTGGTGATCACTGGCCTAGTCACACACTTGTAATTTTATTTAAAAATTATATATGTATTTACTTTTAACACAGAATTAAAAGGAACTCCCAAATTCCACTTTCCCCTTAGTTGTGGTAAAAAGATTAGAATATATGCTCATATTCAGAGAACTCAAATGGTATAAAAGCATGAAGGATGAAAAGCAAAATCCTCTTGCACCTCTGGTCCGGTGTCCCAAAGGTAACCACTATTAACCCTTTCTTGGGATTACACTCAGAATGTGCTTTTCATAGATATAGCCTTACCTATCTATACACTGAATTCCACAAAAATCTGAACCAAAGGAACTATTCAATTCACACTATCTTGTGCCTTGTTCTTCTTTCCATTTAAGATATTTTGGAGCTCACCTATATCAAGTTATTTTTAATAATTCTTAAATAGTTCACTCCCCACCTCTTCCTGCTCTTTTTCCCTCCTTCCTGTTCCCCTTCCCCTTCCCTCCTCTTCTCTCTCCTCTCTGTTCTTTTCTCTAATACTGGAGATTGAACCCAGGGTCTTTACACTGAGCTACACTCCCAGTCCTTTTTATTAATTTGTTTGTTTATTTTTGAGACAGGGTCTTGTTGCATAGTCCAGACTGACATTGAATGCATTATGTAGCCCCAGCTGGCTTTGAACTTAGGCCAGTCCTCTTGCCTCAGCCTCCAGAGTTCTGGGATTACCAGTGTGCATCAGCACATCTGGCTTTTATTTTTTATTTGAGATAGTGTCTCACTAAGTTGCAGGGCTTGACCTTGTGGTCTTCCTGCCTCAGTCTTCTGAGTGGCGGAGTTACCAGCATGTGCTACCATACCCAGCAAGTTGTTATTATTGTTATTATTATTATTTTTACCATTTATTATTTCTGTTTGACTAAGACATAATACTTTTTCTGTATGTGGTACTAGAGATTGAACATATGACCTTGCCCTGAACACTTTGCCATTGAAATACATTCCACCCCTTTTAAAAATTTTAAGATAAATTGCCTACAGTGGTCTCAAACTTGTGGCCTTGCTATCTTCTCAGTAGCCAGGCTACATTGTCCCCTTTGACCAACATTTTTCCCCGTTCATTCGTGTGTAGCAATCACCATTTTGTTCTGCTCCTATATATATATATTTTTTTTTTGATGTTTCAATATAAATGAGAACATGTATGGTTTTTTGTATGTGTGTGTGTATATATGTATGTATTATTTATTTTGAGGCAAGGTCTTGTTATGCAGTTCAGGTTGAGACCTTAAACCCATTATGAAGCCAGACTGGCCTTGAACTCACAATAATCTTCCTACCTCAGCTTTCTAAATTCTGAGATTACAGGCATGTGTCACCATGACTGGCAAACATGTGACATTTGTCTTTCTGGTTTACTTGTCTGCCTGGTTTATGTCACTTAATATCCTCCAGATTCATCTGTGCTATCACAAATGACATAATTTCTTTTTTTTTTTTTTGAAAGTTGAGCAATATAAGTCATGTTGTTTACAAACCACATTTTCTTTTGTGATCCATTCATGATTGGTGGACATTTTGATTGATTCCATAACTGGTTTTCTAATATGGAAATCTTAAATTACTATTTTAATACACTCAAAAGATGCTTGATGTGTAGTTAACACTATTTGTTAAATGAACTAATGAATACATGCATAAAAATTGCTGTTATCACATTATAAATTAGTCTGTTTTTCAGTTCTATGACAACATACCTGAAGCAGGCAAGCTTTATAAAGAAAAGAAGTTTATTTAGATCACAGTTCTGGTAGAAAGGTGAAAGGTACATCTGGTGATAACTTGGTTGCTGGCAGAGTCTTGGGATGACACAGGAGATCACCTTTATAGAAGCACTAGATTCAATCCTGAGGTTTCCACCCTCATGACCTTACCTGATCCTAATCACCTTGAAAGTCTCCACTTTAAATGCTATAGTCATAGTATCTTTCAACTTTGTTAACGCCTCACCGTGAGGATGAAATCAACACATGAACCAGTCTCTGAACCATAGCGTATGGTTGTGCTCCACTTTATTCTACTATTTATGGACACCTTTGTTATGTTGGTTGCTGTGGCATATAGTGCACAAACATTTTTGTGTGTGTATCCTGTGTACTTTATTTTGGATACAGTGATTAGTGGGTTATGTAGGTTGCAACGGAGGACTTCAAACCAAAGGCATTAGAACAGAAAAGGTGGTAATGACATATGAAAAAGAAATAGAGCTGAATTTGGAAATTTGCGGGCTCTGGAGTTTTGCAATTGTAGATCTTCGATCTGGCAGTTGTTCCAGCCTTCTGCTCTCTGAGCCGGGACTATCGTAGTTGTTGGTTCCCAACATGTGCACTATACGTTGGTTCTCAGTATGTGCAGTGAGGTGCCCTGGGAGCCGCAGCAGCTTGCTGGATCAAGATGGGGGTGCCTCAGAAGCTTTACAGTTGTTAGCAGAAATAGTGATAGTGGACATCCCTCAGACACCATGCAAAGTGCCGAATCCAGAAAGTTTACAGTTTAACACTAAACATGATATATTCCATTTCATGGTGTTGCATTTTATGGAGTTAAGTTCTTGAGAGTTGCTGTGTTATGTCAAATTCTGTCCAAAAGTTTTCTAACATCAGAAGAGGATAACATCATCCAATCTTATTTCAAAGTTTTATTGTGGTTTTTTTTTTTTTTTTGTACTGGGAATTGGACTCAGGACCTTGCACTTGTCAGGAATGTGCTTATGCCACTGAGCTATTTCCCCGGCTTATTTCAAATTTTGAAAAGTTGTTCAGTTCCCCAAAGGTGTATATATTCTATTAATAACTAAGCATAAAATAATGTTTTTCTTTTTGTATTTTAAAAAGTTTTTAAGGGGCCTGGGACATGGCTTAGTAGAAGAAGCACTTGTTTGGTAACCTCAAGGGCCTGAGTTCAATCCCCAGTTCCAAAAAAAAAAAAAAAAAAAAAAGTTTTTAAGTTGTTAGAACATAAATACTTACTGGGTTGTTTACTTAGTATGTAGAACTGCTAGGTATTTCTTTTAGGGTAGATGCTGTGAAAATTACTAAGACACTAAGTTGCTATAGTAAGAAATGAGTGGGGATAACTCATTTACATCCTTGTTTATCTGAAATTTTATCTGCAAATGAGAGACACCAAATGGGCACTAGTTTACGCAGAAAGAGGAAATTATTAGATCATATATTTGGGATGTTCAGGGTTGCAGATGGCATCAAACTGGCTGGATTCAGGCTCTCACATGAGCCTCAAGGTTGCATCTGTCTGTCTCTCTATCTCTTGGACAGGTTTCACATGCAGGCAGGGTGCCCTGAGTCCATTCTTTCCAAATCCTTTCACTTTAGCAATCCCAGTAGAAAGAATCTTCTTTCTCAACAGCTTGTGTATACAAAGTAGTAGGGGGATTTTGGTTTACCAGCCTGAGCCATTTGCCTGTTTGAGTGTGGCTACAGAGACTGGTAGTGTGTAAGCCTAGGTCATATTGCCACCACTGTGCACAGGTGAGTGCCCCAACTGAACCACCTGGCACACATAAGCTCTCCTCAGAAAAGAGGGGTTATGACCCTAGAGGAAGGAGAAAAAAGGCACAGAACTAAAACAGTGAATTTCTCATTCCACAAATGAGGGGAACAGACTGGTAGCATGGTAGTTTAATAAATAAACATGGAAGCTTTGACGTCCCACCCATTGCTTTTAATGTCCATGATCAAATTAGTAGCATCTGCATCTTCTATGAGTTTAAATTATCATCTGTAAAATGGACATAACAAGTGCCAGGAAACAAAAAGTGGGCAATTATTCTAATCTCCTTTTCATGAGACTGGTGGTTGATGTGTGTAATGAATAAATAAACAGATGTAAGGTGGCTCCCACAGACCTGGTAATAAGCCTTCAGTAAGGGAAGCCATTATAATTACTGATCAAGGAACCTTAGAGAGCACACTGATTAGTACTACAAGCTTCTGACCCCTGGAGGTGCCCTTCCAACCAAGAAGATGGTGTGCAAAGCTGATTTTCCTTTTCTGTCTATTGCAGAGTGGGCAGCATGGATGCTATCAGCCAATCCCCTGTGGACACTGTGCTTCCCAAGCACATCTTGGATATCTGGGTGATTGTCCTCATCATCCTGGCCACCATTGTCATTATGACCTCCTTGTTGCTGTGCCCAGCCACTGCCGTTATCATCTATCGCATGCGGACTCACCCAGCCCTCAGTGGGGGCGTCTGAAAGCCACTCAAGAGTCAGGCTGGGGATGAGGACATGCATCCTTCTCCCAGCCTGTTGGTGGAAAAAGAGTGGGGTGGACTTTGGAGGAAGATCTACATACTACTTTTGATTCTCCAGCTGGCCGACTGTGTGGCTCTGGTCTAGTGACCTAACTCTGAGTTCAGGTTCCTTATCTTTCAGTTAGGGATCACACTCTCCACCCTTCCTACCTCATACGGCTGTGGGAACAAGTGACTCAGTGAAAGTGGAAGCTGTTTGTGAGCTGTAAGGACACCACTGATGTTCAGGTGCTGACACTGTGCTGAGAAGTTTTAAAGAATCAAAGGACTTAAAAGCTGTTGATGGCCTTAAAGTGGGTGAGGGGGATACTGGGGACACAGCAGCTTTCCCAGTGTCCCTCGAATGAAACCAGGTACAGTCACTGTCCTCCTTCCAAGGGTCCAGCAGCATAGTGGCTCTTTTGATTGCCACTCCTTCAAGTTTTCTCAGTTGACAAGGGAGGCCTGAGTTGGATAGAAGAATGGAGGTGGGGAGAACTTTCCAGAACTTTCTCTGTGCCAGTTTCTGCCCCTATATAATCTAGAGGAGGGTGCCATTGTTATGTGATAGTGATAGGGGAGATGGAGTGATGGGCTTCTTCTTGCATTGGAGTCTCATGTCTCTGTAAACTTCAGCACTCAAGCAGTGTTGGACAATGCAGGCTGGTCAAGTGTGGTGCCCAGCTCTCAGGACCTCCAGTCCCCCCCGCCCCTTATGTGTTCCCGCACTAGTGATGCTGTATCACTGTTTCTCAGCTCCTGCTATGTGAGCTTCAAATGTACTGCCTTCCCTCCCCCTACTGGCACTGCAGCCAGTCCAAGGTACTTATATTTTATGAGATATTCCCAAGGCATTTGGAACCAATTAAGTAATGATGGTATTTTAGATGCTATGATTTATATTTATATAGAGCTATTTCCAGACCACCTAAGTGGTTTGATTCCCAAATCAGGGACATCCTAGAATTTATTAAATTATGTTAGAGGATAGCACAAATAGTAGAATATGACTGTGTAAAAATGTTTTCCTTGATTTTATTTCATTGGTGTACACAACCAGTTTCCAATAAAATGTTAGAATGAGCATATCTGAGGTCTTTCTTTGAAGAACACATATTATTCTCAGAACACAGAAAAATGCATTTCACTGAATTTATGGATAGTAGGAGACTTTCAGTGTGGGAACAAAAAGGGAAAGAGAAATTCCACTGACTTTCAAAGTTCTAGCTCTATCTGCCAGGCAAAGTTGTACAGTGTACACAAGTATACACTGCATTTTGGAATTGGACAAATTAAGCTTGAGGTGCTTGTGATATGCAAGTGGACATTTTTAGGACATGCTGAGAATCTGGTTTTGTTCCTTGGACAGATTTTGTGGTTGAAGTTATAGGTTTGGGGTGGCATCATATATGGTGGACAAGCTACATGAGTGGATGGGTGGACTATACAGGCTGAGATAAGTGAGGTGCTAATGTCAGACACAGGGAACAGTACATGGGAGTAGAGGGGGAATAGAAAAAAAATCAAAGCAAAGAGCTTGAGAAGGATGAGTCATATTGTGTGGGTTAGGGAATGACAGGGGAATTAGGACACAGAAAGAACATAAATCACTCTTCCAAGGGATAACACTATAGTAAAGAGGTAAGTTAAAAGAATAATACATGAGGTGAGTGGGGCAGCCCAGGCTGTCCAGATCCTCACTGCAGCCAGGACCCAGGCCAGGCATGTGTGTGGAACTTCTTCCACCAGACAGGCCTGGGGTGGAACCCTGCGAAGGAACTCCCTACAGAGAGGCTGGAGGCAAGACCCATCAGCTGATCTGGGAGCAGAACATCTTGCCAGAATGGCACAGCAGGTTCACTTCCAAGGGCTACAGCAGGAAGAAGTGAACACAGCAGCCAGACCTGAGCTACACCCACCTGGACAGGTTTGATCTTAGTAGATCCGGATCTGGTACTAAGGTAATAACTGCACCAAAGCTCTACACCAAAGGTCATAAGACAGTACTATACAAAATGACAAAGAGAAGGAGCAAAATGCATTCTCAGGCCCTGAGCCCACTCAAAACAAATGCAGGAGACAATAGCATAGAAGAAACGGGAAATTATACACCTGAAATCTCTGAAATGATAGTGTCTGAAGTAAAGAAACAACTGCAGAAACATATAGAGGAAATCAGATCAGAAATAATTTTTGAATTAAAAATGAAATAACTATAATGATAGTAGTACTAAGTGCTTCTAAAGAAGACACTGATAAAAAATAGAAAATAGAAAAATGATGGAATCCTTGGAATGAGTGATATAGGAAAGAAAGAGAATGCATGAAGCAGATTCAAAGTGCTATACAGGAAATTAAAACCTCAATCACAAGCTGGCAAATCCGTTTAAATGGAAGTGAAAATAGACTTTCAGACCTTGAAGACACCATTGCAGCAAGTGAAAAGGTAAGAAAAGATCTCTTAAAAATAATCAGGATGCAGGAAAAAATAATTCAATTTCTGCAAGATGATGTAAAGATGAACAACATGAGACTAATGGGCATCAGTGAGAAAGAAGGAGTCAATGCAAATGATAGAAAAACAATATGGACAGAAGTGATAGCAGAAAACTTCACAAGTATGGAGAAACAATCTGACCTTCAGGTAACCAAAGCATATAGAACTCCAAATAACATCAACCCAATTAAAACCACACCCAGACAGACATATAATAATCAAGATCCCAGAAATTCAGCACAGGAATAGTATACCAAAAGCGGAGAGAGAAAAGAAATAGAGCACTTTTAAAGGAAAATCTACCGGAATAATGGCAGATTTCTCTTCTCAAATAGTCAGGTCAAGAAGAGCATGGAGAAAGATACTTCAAGGCTTTTTTTTTTTTTTTTTTTGTGGAACCAGGGATTGAACTCAGACCCTTGTACTTGCCAGGGAAGTGCTTAATCTATGAGCCATCACCCTGGCCCCCTAAAGTTTTTTTTATTTTTTATTTTTTTCAGAACTGGGGATTGAACTCAGGCTCTTGTGCTTGCCAGGGAAGCACTTATTCTACTGAGCCATCTCCCTGGCTCCAATACTTCAAGTCTTGCAAGAAACCAAATTCCAGCTCAGACTAATATGCCCTGCAAAAGTCTCTTTTCAAGCTTAATGTAGAAGTGAAATTCTTCCATGACAAAGAATAAATAAAGAATTTCATAATGACAAAGCCAACCCTACACAGATTATGAAAAGATATTCTAGAGAGGGATCAAAATGACCACAATTCCATGAATGAGAATGGAAAGAACCCACCAAATAGGGCACACAATTAAACACAGGAGAAAAAGAGGTATACAACAGCAGTCTTTCAATTATTCTTTTGTATAGAGCAGCAAAATATTTCCATCAGCATACTCTACAAATGGACTTCTCCTGCAACATGTGGGTCATGATTCTGTCCAATCTGCAGGGTAGATATCAAGGAAATTGCAGTGGCTCAATCCCACAAGTGACACCTGGCCACCAGTAAGCATCATGGACACTGTCCATGTCCACCACATACTAGAACTTTGTGTGATATTCTATCCCCTAACTGTTAGAAGTTCTGGTCATACATTTGCCATTCCAGTTTTTTTTTTTT